GATAAAACCTAAACGATACCCATCCCTAACAAAAACACACACTAACCAAAAAACAGGAGTGTGCTGCACTGAAAGTGAGTCAGCTGATGTTGCAAACGACCAGATTCAGATGTGCAATTTTAGAAAAGAACATAACAACCACCCTAAAGGACTTAATCCACAGTGAGATGAAGTCAGCCAAGGCTGTGACGGTATAATGGTAGGTAGGTTCATGGGCTACACCCAGGAGAGGAACACTGTAGCCTCCCACACACTGCCTGACTGCTAGTAATAGCAACTGAGCTGACAATATTTAGGCTTCTTCAACAAAGCACACCCAGCACAACTCCTACACAGCAGTGAGAGTGACAAAGGGAAGCATCGCTCAGCAGAACGAACCCGAGCAGAAGAAGCATTAGCTGCCAAACGTGACGTGCATCCATCCAGAAAAATAATTGTCTATGCTCCACGTCTTCAGTTAGGACATGAATGTGTGCTTATACCTGCACACATCCACAGAAGTAGGGCGGGAAATGAGTGATTAGATTAGACGCCAGAACAGGACTCGCCCCTTCTCTTTCCCATAATGCCTCTCCTCTCTGTCATCGTTCCCACGGCTCCTTGTTCTAATTGAATCAGAGCTCATTTAAAAGGAAGGGAATCATAAATATAGACACTTGTTTAAAGCATTTAATCTCATTAATTACAGGCTGGAGTTCCTACTGTATGCTTGGATAGAGGAGCAGTAAGAGCGCACACATCGGGGCGGCAAACGCTTTGGATACTGACCTGAAATGAAGGTTTTTGAAGGTAAAGTGTGTCTCGACGATGCCTGTGGTCTTCACTCGGGTCCTCAGGATGTCCTGCTCTGTGGGCTGGTAGTCCGCCGCACCGATTCGATCTAGGCTGTCTAGATAGCTGCACACAGACACACAAAACTCAGAATCTGACACAACAACTGCAGGAAAATACCATGAGGTCCAAAAACATCAGCGAGCCATTGTTCTCACCAATTTCCCTGAAGTGTCCTTTACATCCACCAGGAGCTCATGTAAGTGGCTCAATGTTGCTGACTGCATTGGATTTGTGGTGCTATGGCCTACTTTCAATGTGAATTTGTGTTGCATAATGAGACAATCTGACACCCACCACTGTGGATCTGTAAATATCTGAGCTAATTCCAGGTGTTCCTGTTCTTTCCCTGCTCCTTCTATGGGACGTGAGCCTCAAATCAGCACTGTAGCAACAGCAATGTGTCACATGGTTCAATGTCTGATCTATTTTAGTGGCTCAGAAACGTTGATTAAATTTTGGTTTACTGGATAACAGCAAACTTCTCGCTGCTACACATTAGAGGAATAACGTCGGTCTGAAATACAAAGTTACCACATGGAGCAGCCACTTGGTAACACGTGAGGAAGGGGAGGATTCGCTTATGTAATGGAATATCCCGGGAAGAGGGCCTTTATTTTTTAATGTGCACGTATAAATCAAATAATCGTGAACAGCAGAATCCAGAGAATCGTTCTCTCAGTCACTCGAGCTCTCACACTATCTACTGTAACACAGCTAAGGGCGACAGAAGGAAGAGCTACAGTTATGTTAGAGTCACTTTGTGATTGTTAGGCTCTTTAACACCTGGATACTGCTCTGGTTCCAGCTAATGTGCACCTCGGAAGGTTTAATCCCTCATTTTTTCCTTTCTTATTTATTCTCTTCTTCAAATTAAGATCAATCTCACCATCGGGGCGAAGGACACAGACAGTAACTAACATTTACAAAGGTTATAAAAGTGTTCATGAAGCACCTTCCATATGACGCTGAAAAACTAGTTCATGCATTTATTACTTCCAGGCTGGACGACTGCAATTCATTATTATCAGGAAGTCC